TCATTTAATTAGGCTAATACAATTTAATTATTACATAGTTGATATAAGATTGATTTTTTTAAAAATATTATTTATATATGACACACATAAAATATTTTTCACACATATTTTTGTTAATAAAATTATATTGATATTTAAATCATAAAATGAGTAATAAATAATAAACATATTGTAAATATTTTATAAATTTTATAATCATTTACTATTATCGTAAACTTATTATTTATTAATATATTTAAATTTTATTTTTTATATTTTAATTTAAAATAATTTTTTTATGCAACATATATATTACAAGTACAACTATATTCTATTGAATATAAATAATATTATTCTTACTATTTATTTATGTTCAAATAAGTTTTTGAAAAGATATAAAATATAAAAAATTATTGTTAATTTTTATTTGTTAATTTTTTCTTTAGATAAAAAAGTATAATTTTTTTATATACACATATATTTCTTTATTATAAAATTTTATTGTGACCATTTATCTTTCATTTAAATGCTTTCTTTTAAAATTTATATATATTATAAATATTTAATTCATTAAAATAATTTTATAAAAATTTATATTTTTGACAAAATACTTCCGTATAGTATATGAGTTAAAAAAATACTAGAATATATATATATATATATATATATTAATTATATTATATTATTTTAATTAAATCTATTATTTTCTTACAAATTCAAATTCAAAAGTTGAAAAAAATATTTTATGTATCTACTATTTAGTACTTGAACTTCTCTACCCTAACTCTATTCTTATTCTCAATATTTGTTTCGTTAAAACCTAACAATTATGCCTCAAGAGGTCACCAAGTGATCCCATACAAAGGGTCACCTATTGTGAAGATCTATTTCATTGTCGTTCTGACGTTGTCAATTGATCAAATCTAAGACAAGATAGAGTTATCGCTGACAAATAACTTGTATGTTTAATTTCGCTTATTATTTCTAATAATTTTAGTTTAGAAAATTATTATATTAAAATACATTTAGCACTTGTGATTTTTTAATATTTATTTTTTTTTATCTATGTTTGTATTTTATTCGGCAACTACATATTAAATTTTTGTATTATTATACCACTTATGTGAAATTATATAAATATATTTTTCTTTATAAATATTTTTTCCTCAAACAAGCACGGATAATAGGTATAAGATAGGTATGCAGGTATTCAGAAAGTACGGATATGAGGATTAATGTTCATACCCACGTTTATGGGATGAGTACTATAGTACCTTACCTATTGTCATTCCTACTTGTCAAGTTGCTCTGTGTTGATTCTTAATCATCTATTATATAGTAATTTCTATGCTGATATGAAGAGAACGTTATATATTATATATTGAATAATCATTATTATTAATATTATATTAAATTAAATATGTATAATAAATAATGAGAATTAATAATAAATTATAAATATATATTATTTAATTTTTAAAATATTAAAATAATCATTGTTGATTTAAGAAAGGAATAATATTATTATATAATATTTAACGGAACAAGAATGTGGTGCACCATTGGACCATTTTCGCTTCTCAAATTTGTGGCTCTTATCGCTTCTCAGAGCATCTCTTGGTGCCAAATTAAACAAAGTCTACACTAAAATGATTTAGCATCTCTCTTATATCCAAATCATTCCATTATTTTAGTACCATCCCACTCTTACTAGTTTAGAGCACTTATATTAAATTATAATTAATGCATCCCAAAGCCAAAACATATATGATGCTCTTTCAATTATTTTATCTTGTTATCATAACTTAATTAACTGATAAATATTTATTATACTTGTTAACTCTAATAATAAACAATTAAAAATTCCCCTAGTGACCAATATTTTGCTAGTATATCTTCCTTGGTCACCACAGAATGTGGGGGCTTAACCATTTTCCACAACCCCGTGGCACGATTAATATTGGTTGCAAATGACTTGAGGTAATTGGCTCTATTTTCTTTCAACACTTTCCCCTCATCGCTCTAAATTTTAATAAATATCAAATTAAGTGTAATGCACTAAAAATTATTGGTGTTGTTTTTTAATTTAAAAAGTTTTATTTTAATAATTTATATAATTAAAACTAACTCCAAAAACCAGTATATATTTTTGAAATAAAATTTAAATTTTAACTAAAAACCGACACTAATCATACTTATTATACTACACCTAAATGCTGTTCTTTAATAATAATAACATAAGATAATTTTTATACAAGGTCAATAGTAACTACATTTCATAAATTAAGTTACATTTTCTTCATTTTTTAAATTAACTTTCAATTAAAGATAATTTTCACGCTTTAAATGAAATTATTTTATGAAAATTTAACACTCAAATGGCGTGGAAATATAAAATGAAGACAAATTTTTTTTTTTAAATTCAACTATTGATACATTTCGTGCCCATGAACAGTCACAATTAATTGCACTATATATTTTAACAATTTTTACTTAAAGAAACGGCAATCAATTCAAAATAAATTAGGGTTATATTTGTAATATGAAACATATAAATAAAGAAGTTTTTTATAAGAAAAAAAAAACTAAAATATGTCGTTAAAGAAGACTGATAAAAAAATCATGTATATACTACCTCGATTGATTGTTAATTATAAACTTTGCGTACTGAAAATTCAAAGGTGAGAGTGTATAGTGTAATATATTATGTTAGACAAATATACGAGCAATATTAATAACATATATAATTTTATAATCTTTACACAGATAATTTAGTTTTTATTAATAAAAATTATATCAATAAGGCATTATTAACAATTATTCTAATTTTAATTATTAATATATGGATTTCTTTTGTAGTAGAATACAAATAGACTTTTAAACAGTAATACAAGTTAGAGTAAGATAATATTTTAATAATGTATTAAGGAAATCGCATTTAACTGATAGGAACTTTCAGAGTGGATAGGGGAGAGTTGGAGTACAGGTGAAGTTAGAAAAATTAAATAAAATATTAATAAATCAAGCGTAGTTGGAAAAGGCTAAACTTAAATAATAGTGTATGTAGTCAAATGGGTGTGTTAATAATTAAATTTACTGGTTAATTCATTTAATACATTTTTGTAAGCGAACTACGGTCCTTCTTTTTTATGAGAATAAAATTATAAAAAAATATTATTTATCAGTGAACAAAAATTATTAAATATTAAGATAATCTCTATTTAACAAAATAATAAACTGTTAAAATAGATTTTGAAAGTTTATACTAACGTTTAAAAAAAAAACTATTCTATGATGACCTATTTAACATAAATAGTTAATAAATGATTTCTTTTATAGTGTAACTAAGGTTTTGTTGGAAAATTTAGTACAAGTGGAACGAAATGAAAATGATTATAGTTAATTACCTGAATTATATCACTTTTCTATCAAAGTTAATATAGACTAAGGTGTCGATCAAAATTATGTCTTAAGAAGTGCTTGTACAGTGCGACCTGATCTTATTTTCTAAAAGGTAAAATACACTTCTCATTCTTAGTTTTCTTCGTTCTAAACTCTATCGTCCTAACAAAGTGTAAAATTCTCAATATGAACAACAAGTAATTTAAAATATTACACTATTGACTTTTTAATTTCATAAGATTGAATAAAATTTAATTTTTATTAGAAACTTATTCAACGACCATCTTCATTTTGTTTTATAGTCTTAACCATGATAACATCAATTTAAATTTAGTTGGTCATATAACAATAACAATATACAGAGACAGAAAAATCACACCTGCAAAACTTGTTTTTAAAATAAAAGTCAATGTAATATAAGTCTTTGACGGACACAGACATACAGTTTATTCATTTTTAATGAGTTATTTTTTTAATCGTTTTTCTTATCTCTTTCTTAATCATAAAAAAAAAGTTATATAAATTTGTATTATATCAATAGAATATCTCATTTTCAAATGTTCAGAGGTGAAGTTGCACAAGTAGACTCCAGCAGCTGTGTAAAATGATTATTTTATGTGAGTTAATAAATATTTATTATTAGTTGCTAATTTTTCAGTGGTTTTAATCATCATTCTTTGAAAAGTAATAATATTCCTGTCTGATAGATAGGATAAGGGACATGCGCATTGCTCCGGCTTCTTCAACCTTCCAAGCAAATTCTTCAAATTTTTGAGCCAATTCAAGTTCATTTATGCTTGCAAATCAATCATTTGAGACTATGCACAATACTACTAATAGAAAATCAGTAGAAATTCAAAATAGTCTTTTATTTCCTTAAAAAGAAATATAAAAAGCTTTACAACTTAACCAAATTAATAGGATTTCCTTTATTCCCTTCCCATCCCTCCCACCAAATCCCAGCTCTTATCTTGATGGCTGGTTAGTGCTGTCATTTTGTTAAATCTTAAAGCACACATTTTTTATTTCCAAGTATTTGGACCGGGTTCTACTTTAATTTGGTGGAGAATTGCGAATCTAGCCAAGTTCAATTTTGACCGTGAAATTTTATTATTAATGGATAAAAAAAAAAAAAAAGATTATGTGAATTTTTTTATTAAATTATGTGATAGTAAATAATTTTCAATTTTGATCGTCTATCTATAATTATATTGTTAAAATTTAAAGTTCAATTATAATGTATTATTAGTATAAAAATTTAATGTGTATTAAAAAAAATTTATACTAACAATAATTAATTAAAATACGGGTAAATATATTTTAATTAAATACTAAAATTTAGTGTTCTTATATATATATATATATATATATATTATTTCAATACGTTATTAATTAATTTTTAATTATTGAAAAAACAACTTAGATTACATTAAAAATGAGATTATACAAATATAAAATTGGGGGAGGCAGAGATTCCCCTTTGAGTGCATTATAAATTGACATAAAAAAACTATCGGTGGCACGCCATTCTAAACAAATATTGTTTGATCCTTGCACAAATCATATCACCTTTCATCCAAACACAGCAGAAGCAAAATTGTGGTGCAAAGCTCAGAAAAATGAAGAGCTTCACCTACCATCTCCTCACTGGCCGTTGGTTCATGATCTTTGCCTCTTGTATAATCATGGCATTCTCAGGATCCTCCTACATGTTTGGTTTATACTCTAACGAAGTCAAAACCTCTTTGGGTTACGACCAATCAACTCTCAACTTAATAAGCTTCTTCAAAGACCTTGGTGTCAACATTGGAATTTTGCCAGGACTAATCAACGAGTTCAGCCCCCCTTGGGTTATACTAGCCATTGGTGCTGCCATTAACTTCATTGGTTACTTCATGATATGGCTCTCTGTCACTGCACGCATTGCTAAACCACAAGTTTGGCAAATGTGTCTCTACTTTTACATTGGTGCTAATTCACAATCTTTTTCCAATACTAGTACCCTTGTCAACTGTGTCAAAAGCTTCCCACGAAGTCGAGGTTATGTTATTGGCCTTCTCAAGGGTTATGTGGGTCTAAGTGGTGCTATTTTCACTCAGCTATACCATGCCTTCTATGGTGACAACTCCAAAGCTCTTATCTTCTTCATTGGTTGGCTTCCCACAGTCATTTCCTTCATTTTCCTTCCAACAGTTCGTGTGTTGAATATAGTGCCACAACTTAAAGAGATCAAAGTCTTTTACAAGCTTCTATATATTTCACTTGGGGTTGCTGGTTTTCTCATGGTTTTGATAGTCATACAAAACAAGTTGACTTTTACTAGTGTTGAGTATATAGTGGATAGCATGTTGGTTCTTTTCTTGCTTCTTCTCCCACTTGTCCTTGTATTTAAAGAAGAACTCAAAATCTGGGAGGCTGAAATCCAAGCCTCCATTGATGCAGATGATTCCCAATTGAAAGTAGTGACTCATGTTCCACCTTCAGTTATGAAACAGCCACAGCCAGAAACACAAGACGCACAAGGTTCCACAAGCCCTCAAAGGGAAATGTCTTGTGTAAGCAACATGTTCAAACGTCCAAATAGGGGTGAGGATTACAATATCTTCCAAGCTCTTTTCAGCATTGACATGTTGATTTTGTTCATTGTGACAACATGTGGTGTTGGTGGAACGTTGACGGTTCTTGACAACTTGGGACAGATTGGCAACTCATTGGGGTACTCCAAAAAAAGCCTTTCATCGTTTGTGTCACTTGTGAGTATATGGAACTATTTGGGAAGAGCAGCTTCTGGCTTTGCCTCTGAATTCTTTTTGACCAAATACAAGTTCCCTCGTCCCTTAATGCTCACACTTGTTATGCTTCTCTCTTGTGTTGGCCATCTTTTTATCGCCTTTGGTATCCCAAACTCTCTTTACTTTGCTTCAGTGATTACTGGGTTTTGCTTTGGGGCTATATGGCCTTTGAATTTTGCAATTGTGTCTGAATTATTTGGCCTCAAATACTACTCAACGTTGTTTAGTTTTGGGGCAGTGGCAAGCCCTCTTGGGACCTATATACTGAATGTGAAAGTGGCTGGTTATTTTTATGATAAAGAGGCACTGAAACAATTGGAGATGAAGGGACTCACAAGACAACATGGGAAGGAGTTAAGTTGCATAGGAGTAGATTGTTATAGGATGGCTTTTATCATAATCACCATAGCAACGTTGGTTGGTTGTTTCTTTTCTTTTATTTTGGTGTTAAGGACTAAAAAGTTTTACAAAGGTGATATTTATGAAAAATTCAGAGTAGAACAAGACCCACCAGGGACTCTTGCAACTGGCGCCAATTCCGACACCACAGATTGCAAGGAAGAACCTGATAAAATCAATGGAAACTGATGTGTATTTAAAGTTTGCTTTGTTTAATCCATCCAAAAGAATTAGTTTGTTTGGTTTAATATGGTTTGAACAATGATTTAAAATTTATATGCTAAAGTAGTCATGCCATTATCTAATCTGCATAAAAAATAATGGAGTAATTAAAGGAAAGTGTATCTAAAATTGTCATTCTCATTCAATTTCTTTTTTATCTGAGATATTTGTTTTTCTTTTCTCGGTTGAACAAACTGATAGCTTAAAAATATTATATATGAATTACTTGAGTAGAGATAACACTACTTTAATAAATATATTGGAATAACAACAAACACAGCAAACTTTCCACAGATTTAAAAGTTTATAATTATATAATTTAGGAAGTCTTAACTTTAATTCTTAGGAATGATTTGTTGCGACCAAAAATAAAAGATATAATGAAAAATAAATATTTATCGTATAAAATTTTTAAAAAGTGGTAATATTTTTGTAATAAAAATTTATTACTTTTAAATATTTAAAATTGACTTTAAATTTTATTGTTAACAAAAATCGTACAATTTATCAATAAGAAAAGTAAGCATGCCCTGTGTGATTTGATTAAATTTTTATTATTCTATTATTAAGGTTCGTTTAGTGCATAGAATCAGAATTGAGATTTAAGATTTTAAAATTATAAATTAAAATTATTTCAAAATTATAATTTTACGTTTGACATACTCAAAAGTTAAAATATTTCAAGTAATTATCTTAAAAAATAATTTTCCTAAAAATATTTTATATCATTGTTTTTCACACATTTTTTATTATTTAATTAAAATTATTATAAGTTTTATTGAATGATAAATAAGATTTATTAAATAAAACATGAAACATACTTTATGTCCACCAAAAACTCAAGTAATGATAAAAATATTAATTGTCTTCTAATTAATTCATTAAATTATCATAAAAAATATGTATTAATTTTTTTTTATGATTTTAACATAATATTTTTTTTTTAATTTTCATAATAATTTCAAATTTTAATTTTAAACTATATTTAAAAATATATTGAAAAATTAAGAAAATATAGTATATATATTAAAAATGTAAACAGAATGTGCAACTTTTCAGTTCTCACACCAATTATGTTCCAGCCCGTCGAAACACGCCTACGACAGCCCCAAGCCCTTCCACAGTCCAACGCCAACACCCCTATCCATTTAGGGGAAATATTATTTCACACTTAAATAAATGAATGTGATACTTAAAAAATTATTTTTATTAAAACCAAAAGGAGTAATAAAAAATAAAAATATTACTCCTTTTGGTTTTTATAAAAATAATTAATTAATTATTAAAATTAATGATATATATTAGAAATTTATATTATATTTTAAAACATTTATAATATTAAACTATAAAGTTTATATATCAAATAAATATATTTTTATATAAATAATGAATAAGTAACCCGTTGATACAAATCTCATAAAATAAATAATTAATTATTTATAAAATTTTTATTTCTTTAATTTTATTAATAATTAAAATTTTTGTTATTTAAAATTAATTTTAAATTATATTTATTTTTTATTATAATTTAATAACTTCACAAATCTATGCACCAATATATAGAATCCACAAGCTATATGTGCGTTCCATTAATTGTGATGATGTTTGTTTCTTGCAGCTAACTAAAATTTTTTTTCTTGCTTGAAAAGATTAAAAATCTTTTAGTGAACTGTTGATTATAAAATATTTACATATAAAATAATTATTCACATTCAAGCTATGGGATATGGTATAATTATTTCATATTAAGAGTGTTCAACAACAAAACAATTACTAAAACTTAAACTAAAAAATTAAAAATTGAATTAATCAAAAACTGTAAAAATAAAAAATATTGGATTAAATTAGATTTTGGGTTCCATTTCAAAAAATGATATTTACATCCTCTTTTTAGTCGAACTTATTCGATATTCAAAAGCCCATAGGCCATCGAGTGCAAGAAAGAGGGCTAGAAAACAAGCCCCAATCCAAACTATGCATAATGACCAAAAATATTCTTTTTAAACCTTATGTTTTTGGTCAAATACTTGGTCTGATCTAAATGCATCGTTTATTAAAATATCAAAGGGGTGCAGCTTAAAATCCCATGGCAGATTAATATTAACATGTATATTTTAATATTAACATGTATATTTTAAATTTTAAAATTATATAAAATATTTATATTTTTCATTTATTAAAAAAATTCAAATTCAATCTAAATCTATTATTTATATTACATTTACACTTCGTAATAATGGGTAACTCTTTTGCTGTTTTTCCCCTCTTCTTATTGTTGTTATGAATAAATTTATGATTCTCTTTTTATGATTGAAAAAATCTATTATTATATATTTTTATTTATAATATTTAGTCTATGATTATAAAAACATTTCATAACATTTATAATATAATATTATAAATTCTTTTAATAGAGTAATTTTACACATACTCAAATATAAGATTTGGCTTAAAAAATACTAGATACACGTTGAAAGATAATGCTGCAGAAGGAATGAGCAAATAACAGAAAAAGAGAAAAATTTCAAAGAGAAAAGTTATACTTTATATTTATTGTCTCCTTTTTATAACAATAGTGTGTTATATATGCACAAATGGTAACAGCCTTGTAGTACTAATCATATACAAATAAAAATAGAAAAATATAAGGAATATTTACAATCATTGTTTCTTCATCGAATTCCCTTTTTTACAGGAAGTAGGACACGTGACCACATAATCCTTTAGGTAGTGTGGCTGGTGAATGATTCTTTTGGAGGTCTCTTCGTGTGTATCTAGTAAGGTAGGCGATGGAATAGAGTCCTTAATTGGACTGTTGGGCGGATTAAGGATAATGAGCCTTGTGGTCCTTACATCTCCTTCGGGTTCGAGAATCACCTTGTTCTCAATGTAGAATTGCTTTTAAATTTGTAGCCAAGGCTCCCAGCTAGCCTCTTCTAGTGGCATTCCCTGCCACTAGATCAGTACTTGGATTTCAGGAGTAGGAGTAGAATTGTCCCACTTTCAATCCACAATGGCAGCAGGTTCTAATATAGGTTGGTTCTCTTCAATATCTGGGGGGAAGAGATAGAGGAGTAGAGGGCAGTGGTCCTTTCTGAGGACAAAAGAGGCTAACATGGAATACGTTGTAGATTTTAGCAGAGGCAGGGAGTTTCACTTCATAAGCAACTTCACCAATTCTCTTCTTGACCTTGAATGGACCAAAAAAGCACTTCATGAGCTTTGCAGAATGAGTATCTGTAACTAAGGATTGTCTGCGAGGGCAAAGTCGAACATAAACCCAATCACCCTCATCAAACTGTAATTCTCTGTGGGACTGATCAACCCATTTCTTCATTGCTTCTTAGGCTTTCTTCAAATTTGATGCGAGTTTGTATAGAATTTCAACACGAGAAGAGAATTCGTACTGAACTGCTGCATTTGAAGAATTCTCAGGGAAGATTGGTGGCATGAGTGGGGGTTTACGGCCAAATAAGATTTCGAAAGGGGTAAAACCAGTGGAGGCATTTACGGATGTGTTAAAGCTCCATTCTACCCAAAAGAGAAATTTGCTCCAAAGAGAAGGTTTGTGGTGTACAAAATAGCGAAGGTACTGCTACAGGATCTTGTTGGTAACCTCGGTTTGGCCATCCGTCTGAGGATGATAAACAGTAGACATACGGAGTTTGGTTCCACTAAGCTTAAAAAGTTCCTGCCAAAAGTGGCTGAGGAAAATTGGGTCACGATCGGAAATAAGGCTATGTGGTAATCTGTGAAGCTTGCAAACAATGTCTACGAACAATTGAGTCACACTGATTGCTGTGAAGGACTTGGGGATCATACCAAAATGAGTACCCTTAGAGAACCTGTCCACAACTACTAGAATCATAGTGGAGCTCTTATAGAGAGGAAGGCCAACAATGAAATCAAGGGACAAATCCTCCCAACAACGCAATGGAGAGGGTATTGGTTGTAACAGTCTTGGTGAGCATTATGTTGGGATCTTTGTCTGCTGACAAATGTTGCATTATTCCACAAATCGTTGGACATCTTTACGAATTGTGGACCAATAAAAATTAGCCGTAAGCTTGCTTATTATGCGTGATACTCCAGTATGTCCCGCCATAGGAGTAGAGTGAAATTCTTGGAGTAGGAGAGGAATGAGAGAGCAAGAAGATGGAAGCCATATCTTATCTTTGTACGGATAAAACCATCTCTAATGGAGAAATGTGGGAAGTCACTTGGAGCTGCAGAGATTTTCTCCTTCAATTCCCTGAATTCAGGATTATCTGCTAAGGATGATTTCAGGTCTGTCAAGAAATATAAATGTGTAATTGACAACACATAGAAGGACTCCTTACTATTGTGAATAGGGCCTTTTAGACATGAAAGGGCATCAACGACAGTGTTGGACTTCCCTGGTCTGTACTGAATTTTGAAGTCAAAACCTAATAATTTGAACAGACAATTTTGCTATTCTGGTTTGAGAACCGTTTGGGTTAGGAGTTCTTTGTTAGACCATTAATCTGTTTGTATAACAAAGTGACAGCCTAATAGATATTGGAGCCATTTCTGAACAACGGAAGTAATTGCACATAATTCTCGTATATAAGTGAAGGAGTTGCGAAGTTTAGGACAAAATTGCTTACTAAAATAAGCAATATGATGCCCATTCTAATAGAGGATGGCACCCATGCCTGTGCCCGAAGCATCTATGTTGACTGTAAATAACGAGTCAAACTTAAGAATAGCTAGAACAGGTGCGGCAATGAGAATGTTCTTGAGGTGCTCGAAAGCCTCTTGTGCTTTAGCATTCCACAAGAAGAGGGTGAGCAATAAACGCATAGCCAGCAACAAAGCGTCTGTAAAAACCAGTAAGGCCAAGAAAACCATGAAGGGATTTAAGAGTGGTAGGAACAGGCCAATTGTGGACTGATTCAAGCTTCTCAGGGTCCGGTTGAATGCCTTTGTTAGAGACCACATGTCCC